TTTTGCTTTTATGCTTCAGTGGCATTCAGTTGTTTTTTTTAACAAATATGGATTTATTTTTAGGAAAAAAACATTGATGACTTACTGCAAAAAAATATTTAAAAATTCACACTGCTAAAKCGAACAGTTTTTAAAATCTTTGCACGTGATTGGGGAATGTCTATACTGTAAGTGAACAAAGCATCGCTACAACAGCTAACAGCACAGACTGTAGAGAAAAGTCTGTTTCTTTTAGATTATTGAGTCACTTTCAGAGACGAAGAAGAATCAGAGTTCAATTGTTGTTTCAATCAACACAGACCTGGGAGTTTMCTTTCATAAAAAGTTCCCCTTTCAAAAAATAAACCCAAATGTCATCATGACCTGCACGATGAAGACTGAGGTAAGGACTGGGAGGATTCTGTTTTCAGCACAACTAAATAAATTTTTGAAGATTTCTTTCTTTTTTGCATCAAAGAGCTCTCAACCATAAACATTACATTCTGATTTCTCAGCAGACAGAAACTTTCTGCTGTCTGACAAACGATGCAATTCAAGTAAAACCTTCGGAAAAAACATTTCTTTTGAGTTGTGCTGCTCTCTATTCTCCCAGCTTTCTTTCTTCTATCAATTATCCTTTTTCAACAGGACATAAAGACCTTCATTTCAGGTGAGTCGCTTCTGTCAGTGTGCCCCAGGGCAGCTGGGGCTACAGTGTAGTTTGTCATCATCAGTGTGTGAATGTGAGTGTGAATGGGTGAATGTCTGTTAGTGTAAAGCGCTCTATAAGTTCAGTACCATTTACCATTTACCTAAGTTGTTTTCCTGTCAGTTCCTCTTCTTGCCTGCAGAGAAGCTTATCCTTTATCTCTCAGGATCAGCATGTCTGGCTGATCTTTAGTCCTCCTTTTGTTTCTCTCCACATCCTGAGGTGAAAACTGGGTTTTTAAACTTTGAAAACAAGTCTGAGTTGTTTCTCTTATGTAACTGGGAGGACATATTGTTAAACTGATTAAAAATAGGACTCAGATTACTTTCTAGAACAGCAGTAAAACCACCTGAGGAGACAAATGTCTGCTCATTATGACAGCAGGCTGGAGGCCCCTCAAATGAACAACGAATTAGTCTTTTAAATGTATTTAGCCCTCATGGCTAAATCTGGCACCTTTATAGGATTAAACCACTTGTCCATTATTGTGCTCCATCCATCCATTTTCTTCCTCTTATCCGGGGTTGGGTCGTGGGGGCAGCAGCCCAAGTAGAGAGACCCAGACTTCCCTCTCCCCAGCCACTTGAGCCAGCTCATCTGGGGGAATCCCAAGGTGTTCCCAGGCCAGCCGAGAAACATAGTCCCTCCAGCGTGTCCTGGGTCTTCCTCTGGGTCTCCTCCCTGTGGGACGTGCCCAGAACACCCCACCAGGGAGGCGTCCTGGAAGCATCCTAACCAGATGAACCACCTCAACTGGTTCCTCTCGACGTGGAGGAGCAGCAGCTCTACTCTGAGTCCCTCCCAGATGACTGAGCTTCTCACCCTATCTCTAAGGGAGAGCCCAGACACCCTGCGGAGGAAACTCATTTCGGCCGCTTGTATCCATGATCTCATTCTTTTGGTCACTACCCAAAGCTCGTGTCCATAGATGAGGGTAGGAACGTAGACCGACCAGTAAATCGAGGGCTCAGCTCTCGCTTCACCACAAATCATCGATGCAGCGCCAATTCAGCTCTTGCTCCATTCTTCCCTCATTCGTGAACTGCCTCATTACTGTAGATGCAGCCCAAAAATGTTGGTCCATGTCTTGATCCCACCGGCTGTAACTTGTTTCTGGTTGAGAACTAGGGCCTCAGACCTCCAGGAGCTAACTGACTTTTCGCTCAACAGTGAATCACTATATAGTACAAGATAAAGGCCATGGCTTAAAGACACCAAAAGACAAGACAAGACTCTGTGGTTTCCAAAACAGGCGTCCTCTTTTTCATGTACACGTCAAGATGTCCGGTCCATGACCACTAGACCAGGAGCAGCACTGGCCGAGTCCAACCAGCACTGAGAACAAGCTTCTCTTCACGCTGAGAGTGCAGACACAGCTTTGGGTTGTCTTTAAACATGACTTGACCCCGACACCATCATACTTCTGTATCACCTCTTACAAAAGGTCTCAGAGGACAATATGATGGTGTCATCTGCAGATCCAGAAAAAACATGGGACTTTAAACTCCATGAACCCARGACCCCCTCAGCATCTCTGCTAGGTCACAAAATTAGTTTTAGTTACTGACATTTCCATCCTTTTCAAACACAGAAAACAGTAATACTATTTCATGAAATAATAATAATAAAAAGCTAAAAGGGTGGTTTCTCTCAGAGGAAATGACATTTCTTGTGCTGTCCTGTTGTTCCCTCGCAGCTCGCGCATACATCAACATGGTTTTAACTCTCTCTCGAGGCCTGACTGAGCTTGCTTTCTGAATTATGAAATAAAAGAAAATCTATTTTGCTGTTAAACTTTTCKTATTCATTCTGAAACCTTCAGAGACTTGAAGTGAGCACACACCGATGACCCAGTTGTCCCAAAAAATCAAACCTTAATGCTGCGCCTTTACATCACTGAACCCCGGAAAAGTAAATAATACTGCACTGTAATATAGTACTGTAATCCAGACTGAATATTCCTCTTTCTATCTTCTCAACTGTTTTGTCAATAGGATTGGCATGATGGCGGTTCTGTTTGAATTTCAGCTGAAAAGCACAAACAGGTGAGTGAGTCACGAGTCCATTAGTAGCCATAGTGATCACAGCTTTTCATATGAAAGACCTAAATGTTTCCCACTGTCGTGACATGTTTCTCATCATGAAGAAAACTTTTATATAAATGATCTGTTTGATACGACAGAGTATTAGGGCCACACAAGGTTTTTATTCTTTTATTTTAAATTACGAGATTAAAGCCATAATATTACGAGATTAAAGTTGTAATATTACAAGATTAAAGTCATAATATTATGAGAATAAAGTCTTAATATTATGAGATTAAAGTCGTATAAAAATAAAGTTAGAATATAATGAGAATAAAGTCGTAATATTACGAGGTTAAAGTCATAATATTACAAAATTGAAGACATATTATGAGATTAAAGTCGTAATATTACAAGATTAAAGCCATAATATTATGAGATTAAAGGCGTATTATTACAAGATTAAAGTCATAATATTATGAGAATAAAGTCCTAATATTACGAGATTAACGTCGTATAAAAATAAAGTCTGAATATTATGAGAATAGAGTCATAATATTACAAGATTAAAGTCATCATATTATGAAAATAAAGTCGTAATATTCTACTATTCACATGAAAAAGCCTGCATTTATCACTACATTAAAATGAGAAATGTTGAGCAACTTGTCAAGTTGTTCTTTAGTATTGCTTAAAATTAAGAGTTAATCTTTTAGCACATTAGCATCAAATTATCAGTAGTAGGACTTGGAAATTGTACAAACGACTATAAACTGAAGTCGTATTGTAATTAATGGATGCAATGACAGATTTAGTCACGTAGCTAATTTGGATGAAAGCATATTAATCTAACAGTGACCCAAGTCATCGCAGACTATTTTATAAACACAGACACATGGTTGTACAGCAGCTGTGAGGAAAATAAAGAGGAAATGAGGAATGGAAAATGAACACTTGTAAGATTATGACTATTTCTTGAAATATTACTTTATTCTCATAAAATTATGACTTTAATCTCGTAATATTATAACTTTATTCTGGTAAAATTATGACTTTAATCTTGCAATAATAATAATAATAAATCTTGTTGTGTGGCCCTAATACTCCATCGTAGTTTGGGATAAAAATCAAATGTTTAAAATTAATTAAAACAATATTGGTCAGTTCTAGAGATTTATTTAGAAAAGTTACAGCTACTGTAATTATTAAAAGAGCAGTTTATAAGATAATTAATTTCCTTTAATTAGGGTCAGAACTGTGTTGTTGTCATCAATGCCCAACTTAATGTTTTATTCACAAATATTTTAGAGTTACCATATTAAAATCTGACGTTAATGTCTTGTTATTGTTGAACTCTTATTGTCCTAAATCTCATGGAAGTTGCCAGGGTGCCCTAATAGTTTTTACATTTATTGAATTACCTGTTTTACATTTGATTTCCTAAAAACTCAAAATCATAATTAGTCTCAGACCATATTTTTGAAAGAAGAAATCCATATTTATGGATTTAGAAGACAAAAGGTTGTGTAATAATCTGAACTTCAACACACTCATAAAATAAACATTTTGTTGTTTCTGTTTAACAGAACCCACAATTTTCTGCATCAACTTGAAATATTTCTTTTATTAAAGCATCTAAAGGATTAATATTATTTATAATTTTAAAATGTCCCTTTTTATATTTAGGAAGACTTGGGAATTTAAAAATATTTTGTCCTAATGTTACATATTGTAGTTTTTTTTTTTTTTTTTTTTTTAAAAAAAAAAAAAGAAAAAGACCATGAAACACAGAACTGCTTTGGTGAAATGAATATTTTGATATTGTTCCACGACTTGGCAGAAGAGCTACAGAAAAAAAAAAAAAGAAAGTAATTTGCTTTGCATTATGGTCTAAATATTTTCATACCAACTTCCGGTTCGATGAAACACATTGTTCACGTGTTTCAGCTGTGCTCTGCAGCCATTTCTGACATCCAGCATCAATACATGTTAATGACATTTCGCTATCARAACGTAAATATCATTAAAACTAATTCATAAACACGAAAGAGGCGGAGCTCTATTTGACGCATGCGCAGTAGTTACTATAAAGAGGGTGGGTTTTCGTCATTAAATCGTGCCCTCAGATTTTTCTCACAGGCTACTTTAAACCCAAAAACTGTGGTTATAGTCGATCATTTATCTTCACAGTTGTTATGCTGCACATTAATAAAAAACACTAACTATATCAACTATATGTSAATATTAACATTAATGTCAGTTTAARATTAAAGCAGCCTGCAAGGCWAAACTCAGGGTTTCAAAAACAAAAYWCACCAGCGCCYCCGCTTCAGCCTCAGGCTCCGAAGATAAGCTAACTATCTGCATGTTGTCTGTGCTAATGTGCAACATGTGCAAACTCAGCGTCAGTGTAACTTGTTTTAATCATGACTAATGCTTCACAGGACCGGAAGGCTCGTAGGCTTAAAATGACCCCGTRAGCCTGCTTGCTATCTAGCGGAGGGACGTGCAGAAGCGAGAGGCTCACTGCTGCCCACTAACTAACACCAGCTACGGGTAGTCTTGACATCAGCTTCCCTTCCCTGAAGTTCCTCCTCCGCTTCCGTCTTTATATAAGACAGTTTGGCGGCTCTCTGAAACACGAGCCGGTTTGTCATCCCCGCGGAGTGAAACGAAGACGTGGAAATCTTGCTTGTTCATGTTTCGCCAAGAGGTCAGTGTGGCGTCATACATTCCATCTTGCTTGTATCTTTTCCAACAAGAGGAGAGGAATATGTCCCGGTACAACATATACAGCCTGCTGGACTGGATCTACGGCGGGGTGGACCCCAAGTTCGAGGGCAACGGGGGGCCCGAGTGCGCAGCCTTCATCGCGCCCCAGCAGCGGCTCGTGGAGACCCTTCTCATCGTCCTCGTCTTCCTGGTGGAGATCGGCGTCGCGCTCAGGAACATAAACGTGTCCAGAGAGTTCAGGCTGGTGGGAAGGGACAGCCGAACGAAGGAGGACTGCCTGGGCAAGAACCTGTTGCTGGTMGCTCTCTGCATGACTTTTGGAGTGGAGGTCGGGTTCAAGTTCGCCACCAAGACTGTGATCTACCTGCTGAACCCCTGCCATGTCGTGACCATGATCCAGGTGAGGATGACCTGCCTGTGTGTGACCCAGGATGGGTTATTGTAACACAAAGAAAACTCCCATCATATGGAGCTAAAGATGCTGTGTTTATCTTTTATTTTAAATTAAGGATCAGATGGAAGCTTTAAAAGTCAGTTTTTAAGTTATGGAGAAATACCATGCTGGTATTATACAATCTGAATTACATGATTTGTGCTTCCTCCAGATAATCTTCACCAGATTATTTCTCAATTGAGCTTTTCTAAACTTTAAAAGGAAGTTAAAGTGTTTCAAGTCCATCAGGTTATGTGATACTTATGGTTAAAGGCGCATTTTTTTATGTCGCGTTCTGTTGAAATGTTATGAACAAGTAATATCTTACCTGTTGTAGATAGCTATTTGAGCGACCTCAGTTTGTAGAAACAACGTTTAAAGAGACTCATTACAAACTATTAAATCAAACATAAAACAGGTTATTCTAACTAAATTAAATGGTGCAGTTTAAAACTCCAGTAGTTTTCCTGATATGTTTCGATCCAGATCTGAAATACAGGTACATGCCAAATGTAAACAAAACACTTTTGTCGACATACTTTACTCAACAAACCTGAGTGTAAATACATTGACCAAATACATCGAGAGTGTCTGACTTGTTAATCCCAAATAACTTTATTCTGGTAAAATTATGACTTTAATCTTGCAATAATAATAATAATAAATCTTGTTGTGTGGCCCTAATACTCCATCGTAGTTTGGGATAAAAATCATAACATTTTAGACAATTAATGCCTGACTAGATTATTCAAATAGGTTATATAGTTGATCCAATAATTAGCAATTGAAAGAGGCTTCCAAGTGATTTATTTTATTCCATATTCAGTGTAGACATTTTCAGTGTCGGACAAAACTCACAAGTTGTCTAAAATATTTTAATGAGATTGGGCTTTTACTGGGAGCAGATTTTGATTGAAAAGAATAAAATGCATGAATGGTTTGATGGTTCTGGAATTTGAACCATGTAAATAGTTGGCCTCTTTTTTTGGCCATCGATTATTCTAGTTGCAAAGTGTTTTCATAGGCCGCCAACTTCTCGCAAAGTCGCCTCACTTTTCAGTGTTTGCGTACTCCCTAACGATGTGATATACTAGCTTAAGTAGACCCCTGCCATCTTAAATCAACCCCAATCACAAAAGTTTCATAACACCGCTGTCATTTTTTTTGTTGCCCACTTATCTACATCGAGTTGTAATAACAGCGGCTAGCTGTAGCACTTTTAACGGGAACATCATGATGTCTTTGCACAGATAAATGTAATGAAAAACAGACGATGAGGAATAAGGAAAAAGTGTCTAAAGCAGCATTTTGCTTGAACTGTTAGAGTCGTCTGAAGACAACAGCCGTCCACTTGGCCCTGCTTGGACTAGCCATTAGCTCTTCAAACTAATTAGAAACTCTTATTTCTCAAACGTGAGGACAATTCAAAGAGCTATCTACAACAGGCAAGAAATCAGATGTTTTATAAACCTTTTCACAGAATCTGGTTTCCTGGCCTTTGTGGKACTGATCCTGGGCTTCAGGTTACAGCAAACTGAAAAGCAGTGCATTTATCATTCAGAGTGCAGTGAATGAATAATTAGATGGTAATAAAAAGATCAAAGAGCTGCTGATGATTCACAGCATCTGGGATGAAGAAATGAAACCTCTTGCAGCATTTATTGATTCACCATTCCAGGAAAAATGCTCTTTAAATTGGCAGACATGCCCGAAAACTATAATTCTTCGAAATTCTAACCTTSTGGCATTAGTAACCAATTAAAAAATAAAGACATATTTGTTGTAGTCAGTCACAGCTACTTTTTAAAGATGATGTAAAGGAAAAATGATGAAACCGTGAGAAAATACACCGTTCTTCATCAGTGTGGCTGCATCTGTCTCTCATTGCTGTTCTCAGATCACCTTAACAGGTTGGAGTCTTGACTGTTTTCGTCTCTTTCAACAAGTTTCTTCTGCCCAGAAAGCAAACAAACTGATTTTAAAAGTAACRTCAGTTTGACATTTGAAAGTGGTGGAGGAAAAAACAGCGGCTGTATTTTATCAGCTSGGCCCCAGGTGTTAATGTTTTACTTACAGGTAATAAGAAGAACTGGAGCCTGAGTGTATGTTATCAGAAAAGTACGCAGGGCTTTTGGGCTCAGCTGTGCGTTGCAAAGGTTTTCCTAAGAAGCGAACTGGAATAAGATTTAATATGTGATGAATTTTTAACAGTCTGGTCGCTTGTTTCCTGGATACTGAACAAATCGTCTGATCCTGAGCTGTATTAGTGCGCTGAGAAGTGATTAAACTGCTTTTTTAAAACTGTCTTAAAGCAAATTTTAAAATAAAATCTGTGTATTTATATATATCCACCCTTCACCTCAACACAGTGTAATGCTGACTCATCATATGATCCGTGTTCAGGGTGTGGTGAGTTCTTTTTAATCCTTTTCAAAGCTAATTAAATCACAAAAATGCACCCTTGAAGGCAACTCCACTTCGTTGGAACAATAGGCGTTATTTGATTAGCATTTACTTCGATTATAAAAACGAGACTGTAAAAATACTGCAGGCTGTTTAGTTTTTATAAATTCAAAAAATACATAGGTCTCAATTCAGGGGTCGCAGCCCACATAGACAGCGGCCCATAMAGGCCACGCCCCTCGCAGTCCCAGTTGGCTGCAGAAAACATGTTAAATGAGTCTTCGTATGTTTGCATGACCACACACTACGTCGTTACAATAATGACGTGTAGTGACAATTGGAACATGTATTCACACGTCTTTCCACATGACGTKGAGCTTCACTAAATTCGTAATAATGTAAATGAGTAAACATCATGAATAARTTGGGTTTAGCTCCAGGATCAGTACATGTAATTGCATGTTATTTAYCWTCTCATCGCTTCAAATATTTCATCAGCTACGTTGCTAAASGTGCATTTCAAAGCAAATTCTTCTGTCTGTGAWGAATAWATARTTGTGTTATTCCTCTGACTTTATAGAAATGACAAACAGGTCGTATTTTTTTTATGCCGTAAAAACTTTCACATCAAAAACATGATTTTGTGAGCATCATTTAGCTGTAGTATCATTTCGTCACGACTCGGCAAAAATACGAGTTGTTAGTGTTCGATCAGCTGATTAACTTGGTCAAGCTGGAAATCAGTGGCCTTTTTTTGCGAATGGATCATTCGGTGCCTTTCTACTTGCTTTTCCTGACACCTCTTTGGCTCCGGGCTTCTTTAAATGAGTTTACGTGACGCCTGATGCCGTCGGATTGATAGTTTTCTGTAAACTTTCCCCTCGTGCCTGCAGGGATGTGCAGAGCGTCGTACAATCAGTTCTCACTTTACTCTTACACCATACTCTATAACTCTACATTCTTGTGTCTGTTGTGTTGGACAGATAACTCATGAACCACTGCACAGATTTTAATGAAACTTTCAGACAGCTTGCAGCTAGAGCTGATTATTATTTGGAGCCAAKCTGGTTCAGGATGGCCACCAAAACCTGCTTGTTGACAACTCAGTTTATTTTGCATATTGAGCTAAAAGTTGATGTGGTAGTAGCTGAAAGTCACTCACAAGATATACTGTACTTCAAGCACTAACAAATCTCAGTTTCAGTATATAACTCCATCATTTCTCAACATACTGGTCTCAGAGTAAAACTGGCATGAACAGCTGCAGGCGATCTGCTTGGCCTCCGTTTCTTCTAGAGACTGAGGAGCTCTGATGTTACTGAACACATGGTTTGCTGTTTTTAAAATGTAATTCTGACAGACACTCTTCTGTGGGCTGCGGTAAGTGATGTTTTATGCACCGAGCTCCTGCATTAAGCGTAAAACGTGCAGCAGGAAGAGCTCCGTTCGAGGTGAGAGAGAGCCTTCAAACCTGACAGCTCTAATGTTTGGTTTACGTCCCAGCTGATAGCCTGAGAGCAGAGTGATCCCCCCCACAGAGAGAAACATCTGACTTATCAGTTTATCGTCATTCGTTTTCACTCCGGGGCACAATGTACGGGTGGGGCTCCACACTAGAATAAATGAAGAGCAGATGCTGTGCAGAGCAAGCGCCACACACACTGCAACATGAAACAGAGACAAACACCACACRACCTTTATTTTCCTCTGAATGTGCATTAAACGTAAGAGTTTGAACTTGTCCTGAGCTGATTGGTGGGTTTATTTTTTAGTTAAACACTGTTTAAATGCTTAATTTGTCCTACAAAGATGAACAGTTGTTCTCCTGGCCTTCCTTTATCTCCATTCTTCAAACAGGTGTCACCTGTTAAAAGGTTGGACTTGTTATGACTGTAGAAATGCCGACCAGTAATATAGCTGTTCAGGTGGAAAGAGTAAATACAGGAAGTGTCTACAGTGTGGTGTTTATATCCTGTCCTAATGACTGTTTTCACCTCAGGTGAAACCCACACAGCCCTTATTATCTCTGAGTCATGTGACCTATCAGTCCACGTGGACGTCACCGTCTGATACATGACTGAACATGAATGCAGAATCAGCTGAGCTGAAGATGAATTACCGCAGGAAATGATCCGTCCTTCCACTGATAGGGCTCCTGGGATTCCTGCCACCGCTTTTAAGGATACAAGAATTTATTGGTAATTTGAATAGAAAAATATTTACTCAGTTTTAAGTTCAGGCTGTAGTAAAACAGATAACAGATTGTTGACTCAGTGCTTCAGATAAGGCTTTATGAATCCACTTGTTTAAAGGAAACACTTATCAGTCATTAGATACGTCCATCTATAATGCGATTGTCCCGTGCAAACAACTTTACGCTTCACTCTTTCTTTAAAGCGGGAGATGTCAGACTCATTTTCACAGAGGGTCACTTGAACATTAAGGCTGCCCTTAAAGGGCCATTTCTAATTAACTCTGTTTCCTGTTCTTGGACTAAACATGAAACATAACGTTCCTCGTCTCATCGCTACAGCTGAGCACCACTAACAAACAATACCTGAGCTCTGCGTAGTAGGGACGCACCGATATCGATATTTGATATAATTATTGCTGTTATGGGCGATAACCGATATTACACAAACACACYAATTAGATTATACATATACACACAAACACACTTGGGTCTTTTTTTGATACTGTAAATAAATGACCAGACCTCTGACATGGCTCCTTACTTGAGTTATTCCTGGCTGTGCAGCATCAATATCACTATCATGATCAAACAGATGCCGCTCAACCAACCATCTCCCCTCCCAAAACAGAAACGCAAAGATAAAAAGTGGGAAATCAATATCAGACGTTAATATCAGCCCAGTTTTACATATCAGACCGATACCGATATTAGTGCCGATATATTGTGCATCCCTACTACGTAGTATTTTGTGCATAGAAACGTTTTAACACATCCTCTAATAAACACTGAACAGTACTGCATGTACACATGACTAAATGTGAAATAAATAATACAGAAATACTATTAAAGTAAAAGTAAAAGAGTTTTACTCATTGTTGAGTTGTGAGTAGATGTTAGAGCTGTTCGCGAACGATCCGAATCTTTTGAACGGCTCTTTCCAACGAACGATAGGAGCCGAGTCGCGGGCAGTAACTTGCCATTTGTAGTTTTATTTCTTTTATTCCTCATATAATCTTTATTTTTTCATATTTAAATCGCTCCTGCTTTGCTTTTTCATGGAAAACTATAATAAAATAAAATAAAATAATGGAGTTGTGGAGTACAGAAGCTCACGGTGAAAGGGAGAGGGGGTTTCCGCTTGACAAACAAATGGTTCCACCCACGTGACGGGATTACGTACGGCTACSTGATGACGTAATCCGTTCAAAATCGAACAGCTCTTTTGAACGGCTCTATGAAACACATGGCTCCCCAAGATCCGGATCCCTTCAAAGAGCCATTTATCCCATCTCTAGTAGATATGATCAACTTATTTCAAGACATTAAAATGCCTTTGAAGCTCTTGCGGGCCATATTAAATGCCGTGATGGGCCACATTTGGCCCACGTGCCTTGAGTTTAACTCATGCACTTTAAAGCTTATTAGGATTTTAAAATTGTTGACGTTAAATTGATATATTCCAGTAAGAAATAAGTAGTGTGAACTAGGCTTAATGGTTCAGGTCACCTTGAAGTGTTTGCTTCTCTTGTATTTTTGGAGTTATTGTGGTTTTCACAGCTCATTAGTGTTTCTGTGAAGGACGGTCCAACTCATTGTTCTGGAGACCATGAAACACAGAACTGCTTTGGTGAAATGAATATTTTGATATTGTTCCGGGACTTGGCAGAAGAGCTACAGYAAGCAGTCAGAGAGGGTGTTTTGTTTCAGCCGGTCGCACCTTCAGATACGATTGTGTTTCAGCAATGAATGTTTGTAGGTTTTGAGATGAGTGTTTTTTCTGGACTGAAATAGAACAGGAAATGCAAGCGAGTAGGAGCTGMTGTGTTTTTCTTGCAGTTGAACTGTGAGTTCTTACACCTTTACCTGAACACATTCCTGTACAGCAGCTCACCTGAGAGCAGGAAGCTTTCCTTTAATTTTTTGTTCAGATGAGATTCAGCTTTCACCGTTACACTGTGACACTWATTCAGCTTCTCTTTTTGCTCTGCATGCAGGAAGCGTCCAAATGTTCAACTCACTGAGAACTGATGAGCAACCGTTTGGTAGATTCTGTCATCGTCTAACAATAACTGTGCATATTTAGGCTGCCTACAGGCCTTCAGTCAGAGAGATCTGTGATCTGAATGGGGTTTAAATAAAGGTTATTAATAAAATAATCACTTGTGAGGTTTTTGTTGGCACAGAAACCGTCTGTGAAGACTGTAAACCTGGTTACAGTTACTCTACCATACAGTTAAAAATGTGCCTTAATRAGGACCCTGATCCAGTCCCTGCGACAGACTCTGTTTTTTTAACGCCCACGTTCTAAAACTGCTCGTCTGGATGAGAGTTAACTTGTTTTCGGTGTTGCAGCAGAGACGTCTAACATCACACCTCTTTTAATCTTCTTCATCCAGAAAGCATCACCCTGTGTGCATCCTGAATCGCATGCTTTGTGCAGAGATTCTTTGCATTCATGGGTCCACAGGGGCCACCTTTGTTACATTAAGTGATTTTTGACGTTTTGTTGTTTGACGTGATAAAACACGTGTCGTTTTCTGCACCTCTCACCTGCCAATTAAATATTCTCCTGCGACTGTTATCGAATTAAAACATTCAGCTGTTAGCAAAAGCAACAACGTGACTGTAAACCAGCTAAAGGCGAGGCCTCCTGCTGCTCACATCTGTGTCCTCCTCTGATGAAGACCTTTGCATTCGCGGTGTTGCCATGGAAACTGAGTGAAGAAATTTTGTGGCAAACACACAAATACCTGCCAGCTTCAAACTCYTCTTCACTCCCAGTCATCAGATTACTTTTAGTACAGGACGAGCCGAGTGAACAAAGCAGATCTCTGCACACCATCATCATCATCATTAGCTCCATGTAACCCTGCTTTAACGGTGTTAAAGATAACGTTAATGGGTTTCTCATTCAGCCGTTCACAAGCACTCGTGTTGCAGCTCTTAATCACACTCTGTACGGTGTCCTGCTAAGGACATTTGGACATGTGCCATGACTTGATCACAAAGATGACCCATCCACTCAATCGTCCTTATCTGAAGCGTAACTATTCAAGTCGCTCAGATAGTTAGGCTTTCACATTTTTCATGCTTCCAACTGTTCATCTGCTGTTTAATATATTGTATTTTTTGTAATTTAATATTGTGAAGAGATATTTGCTTTTGACTCCAAATGTCAAAAAGCTACATTTAAGCCTATATGAGCTTTCAGGTCTTATTGCGCAATTAACGTTGACATCAAGTTTTTATTTATTTATTTATTTATTTATTTATTTATTTATTTATTTATTTATTTATTTATTGTGGGGTGAGTAGAGCTTGGACATTGAAGCAAGTTGTATAATGTGTACTTTTTCTTGTCAAATTTAGATCTAGGCTAAATATATTATAATCTAGTACTTGCGTTTTTGGTCTAACACTATTCTTGTTTTGTTTGTGACTTGCATATTCTTCAAATACAAAAAGTCAAAGAAAACATTTTTATATGTAACGAACTTGGCATAAAACACACAATTTTGCTCATTTTGTCTCATAACTTGCATATTTTCTTTTGAACTTGGCTCAGTCAAAGTGAAACAGGAAGTGACATAAAAGGGGAACTCTTTACGAAAATAAACTCTGGCCTTTGTTTATTAAAACATTATTATTTAAACTCTGACTCTTCTTTGATAGTGACTCAAAATAATTTCAAGAAACATCAAATTCTTCTCTACCGTCTGTTGTTAGCTACACTGTTCACACGCAGACATTCCCCTTTGACATCACTTCCTGTGACTTCACATGCAAATATCTCAACAACTGTTCGTCTCAGCGTCGTGAAATATGTTTTGTAATATCTCATTAATGTTGTCTTTGGAAAAACACAATCATATTTATTACAAACATTTGATGTCACAGGCACTTTAAATATATATAGCATTAAAGAGTGTTTTTCTCAAGCCAGAAAGAAGTAAAAAGTTTGTAGATCTCTAAATTTGTTCACCAAGAGAAGACAAAACCGTGGCAGGTGTTTGATTTGATTTATTTATTTGAATGGGGACAGTGCAGTTTAATAAAACACGTGACAATTCATACGTTAAAGCTTGTTTTAACTTGTTGGTGTTGGAGAAATCTAACTTGGATATTGATTACTGCTGAGAAGGATTGAAAGGGAAGAATCCTGGACTCGGACCATCATATTGGTGCAAACCTTCCTTCGCAATCAGTAAGATCAGAATTTCAATCAGACCCTCAAATCAAACCATAAAATCAATTTCTAATTTCTGCTTTTTTTTTAAACCAGATGCTTACAAGATGTTTTTTCCAGAAACATTGTTTTTTTTTATCATATTAGTACACACTTGATGGCAGTGTTTTATATTGCATTACTGAAAGCAGGAAGCTTTTAAAGCCTGTAAGCAGTTCGGTAATGAGCAGTGTTGTTTTAATGTAATATTGTGGTTGACTTCCTGCCTCTTTGTGGTTTCTCCTACAGATCTTTCTGCTGGCCTGCCCACCATGTAAAACAGCCATGGTTGTGTTTCGGTGAGTTTCTCTTGTCTACATTTATATTCTGTTCAAATGAACGTTGTTTCATATCAGCACAAACTTCAGCTCGTGCAACAGTTTATAGTCATATAAAAGCTGTAGCTCGGTCTGTGACCCCAGTCATGTTGAACTATAAACCTCCACAGGTGCCTCTGGTTCTAAAAGTTAGTCTTGAATTTAATGTGACGTGTCCATGCAGATTCACATACATCCAGATGGATTCTTGCTTCCCTAAAACCAGTTATCATCTGTTGTTATTACATGTAGATTAAATAGTTGTTAGAGATTATTTATTCCTGCACCTTTGAGTTTCCTCCTTTGAAACGCTTCTGGTCAGGGAGGTTAATTATTTAAGTTTTTTTGCCAACAGGATGGGAGATTTTCTCATAAAACCAAGCTTCAGAGAGTGGTTTAGAGTTACAGAGAGTCAGTCTGTGTTTGACCGGAAATGAAAATAAAAACACTTTTTACCCAGTAAATATCTGAGCTTTTAGTCATGTCTTTTGAATCAAGGTTTTATTAACATGAAAATGTTTTTTTTTACTGTAAAGTACAGAATTGTCTTGGTTTTAATGTTATCAACACGTGAYCATGTTCATATACAGTAGAGCTGGGGGATAGTGATGATATAATTAATAAGGATTAATTGTGGCATTTAGCTGATAACTATTAATATGACAATTAATCTCCTGGACTCCCTGGATGGGCCGGCACATCCTAGTCATCTCTTCACTGATTTAAAKCACTCTAGTGGGAAAGATTCGACCTCCACAAGAATCTGTTTCAATTTGTGTCAAAAATACATAAACTAGTTTTTAAATTGTGTTGATAGGCCAAGAAAAACCAGAGTTATGATTAATCATTTACAGTGCTTTGTTTTAATAATCGTAAATTTGAAGCACATTGCAGCGGGAGTCAGCAAAAGACGGACAGATTCATAGTTAAAAACTCCACACCGCCGAGCAAACAAACAGCCCTCAYCCCTCCTTTCTGACTGAGGTGTGAAATTATTTGACAAGCACCAAAAAATCTTCAAAAAAGAAGCGAATGTTGGATGAATTTTTATGGGCACAGAGAGATGATGAGTGGGAGTGAGCAAAGATTTGTGATATTTAGTGGCATTTGGTGATATTTAGTGTTTTGTGCAATAGTTTCCAAACTTTTCAGGTTTCACCCTCAAAATAATGACAGCAGAAACCTGTGCCCCCAGTTGTAGGTCCCACAGTGGGGTCCCAACCCCAGCTTTGGGAGCCACTGGTTTAGTGTGTTTGATTGAAAACAATGAGGTGATTTTTGAAAGTGAAGCTGCAGCTGATTGAGATGGAGAATGTAGCTGAGGACACAAAGATGCCAGTCCGCTCCTTCTCAGCAGTAATAATAATCACATAGTACTAAATATTAATCAGGGACAGATTTAACAATTAACTGCAAAACCCTAATTTACAAAATGTTCACTGTAACATAATACAGTTATATTATAGAGTTATGGTGATTTCAAAGCAGCAGAGGCACTCAAGAATTCAACTTTATAAAGATTGTGAAGTTCTAAACCTGTTATCAGCTGTGAAGCACGGAGGTGGAGGTTGGATGGTCTGGGCTTGTTCTGCAGACACCATAAACATGTTTAAACTGAATTTATAGCCTAACTTGAAAATAACTAACAAGACTAAATGTGAAACTATATATATTCCTGGTGTAATTCACGTATTGGGTGTCAAAGATTTTTCTATGTTCAGTTCAAGTTTATTTATATAGCGCCAAGTCACAACATACGTTGTCTCAGGGCACTGTACATYAAAAGAARAATCTAAAGAAGAAYCCAGCAGAVTGTGTTGAATCACTTCATCACAGTCTCCCATCCTGAGCAAACAGTGGAGAGGAAAAACTCCCTGCTAATCAGGAAGAAACCTCCAGCAGAACCAGGCTCAGGGCAGGAGACCATCTGCCTCGACCGGCTGGTTGAGGGACAGGAAAGAGACAGACAAACACAGAAGAACTGGTCCAGGACTGGTCCAGGTGCGCCTTCTTCTGGAAGACAAAGAAAAAAACATGATAGAAATAATAAGAATAAACATGTAGAGAAAAGAGAGTAAAGACAACAGCAGTGTGAACCAAGCTGTGTGAAAATGAGTCTCAGCTGTCCACAGCTCTGGTGAGTTAGACTGTGAAGGAAGTGAGGCGTTTCTCAGGATCCGTCCTGTAGCTGGGAGGACTGACAGCTGGGTTCATCTGGAGTGACGCTTCTACACTTCTTCTGTTTTCCCACTGACCTTAGCTGTCACAACAGTTGGCTCATTTAACAAAAAGAGCAGTTAAATGTCAACGTGTGATGGTCCAAACTTTAACACTGAAGCTTTTTGTTCTCTCAGACTCTGCAGCAGCTCTGTTCTTCTTCTTCTTCATGGTCCTGATTTCCCCCTGCATGTTTTTCAGGCTTCACGTCCACATGTTGAACGGAGCCCTGCTGGCGTTAATGTTTCCTGTCGTCAACACCAGGCTGGTAAGTGTCCAGTTTGGTCTTTGTTACAAATCGTAACTTAATTACCTGTCTGTGTTTGTTGGTCCGTTAGCACAATATCCCATCAACCACTGGGTAGGTTTCTGTAAAACTTTGATTAGATGTACATCAACGACTGATTGGAGCCAACTTCTCTGCCACAGCTGATCAATCTTAGCAAACAAAAAAATGTCTAAAACTCAGATATTGAGCCGAACTGTGGTGAACTGTGAGTTCTCCCCAACACTCTGAGCAAACTCTGAAAMCTAACTCTAGGGCCAGCCGTTTAGTAATTATTATCATTACGTTAATTTAACTTCAAATTATTATTATTTTTAATTAACTGAGAGAGGCAGACTGTGTTGTGTAGCCCTTATCTATCTAACAGGATCATTTCTTAAATACCTTGAGTTTGATATGTGCTTTAAATGCTTTTATTTTGGATATCTGCATTAATGTGAATTAATAAAAACTGTTGGATTTTCACGTATGTGAAGTTAAAGGTTTAAATCAGGCCTGGTAGGCTCTCACATTCCACCTGTTGAAGGTAAGACTCGAGGACAGGTGATGGATCTGATCCAGCAGATGGTCCCAGAGTCTTTGTAAAGAGATCCGTAACATTAACATGCCGACATGTTGTCTGTCCGCTGACTCGAAGCAGCCGCGGCAGGATAAAAGCACACGCTGCMGTGCCACTTTGTTGCCTTTCATGTTGTCACTTTGTGTTGTCAGCTCAAACACACCAAGCCAAATGACAGCAGAACAACCGGGGTGTTAAAAGGTTTTCCACACCAACAACAATCCAAACAAAGCCTCTGTGATGAGAAAAAGTCTTTTCTCATGTTACCAATTAACCTTCATAAGAGAGGWAATCAATCATAGAAAACAGCAGGAATACAGTGACTCAGCGTTTTTATACACCTTGTTTGAAGGGAATGTTGACTTTATATTTGTCCTGTTGATGCTGCTGTCCACTTAAATAAAAAGATATTTACAACTTTCTATTTTTTGTTATAGTTAGGTACCACAGTTTTTCAGAATAAAAGTTATTGTAAAAGTTGGACAAAAGAACATAAAAAGACTGTTTCAGAGTTTAGGAGCTACAGCTGAGAAGACTCATATTTAATTTAATTTAAATTTAAACAAAGAAAGTTTAGCTACAAGCATGTTTTAACATCCTTTAAACCATTCCACAGATTCTCAATACACTGAGCTCCAGCAAACCTTAAAGGTAAATAAAACTGGACGTCATCGGCATACAAATGAAATGAGACATCCCGAGTTTAAAAAGTGAAACTTATTTAACTCGGATGCTTTTACCTCAGAACAGTTGCTGCTAACGTTAGGCGAAACTTCCTCATCTGTACTTCCTTATCAGATTTCTAAACAAGGAAGTATTGCCTTTTTTATAAAGCAGATTTGCGTTTGTGTTGGGGTCTCTGCACACAAACTGAACGTCGACATGAAAACTGAGTAGCATATTTACTTTAACGTTTTGTTATGGCAATGGGCAATCATTAAATTGCTCGTGTCTGTTTGTTAGTCTGTTAGCAAAATGTCTCATGAAGATGGGTTTTAATGACATGAGTCATCGTTTATACATCTGCACCAACTAGATTTCTGAATTCAGACTCGGAGCGTTGACAAATCTTGCAAGATTTCCCAAAATTGTTTTGATCAAAATGTCCCTTTTTTTTCATAAAATGATCTTAGTTGGCAGGAAAGTTGGCAGGTGATAAGCATTTCTTCGATAAAAGCTGAAACCTTGAATATTAATATTCACTGTAACCGTCCAGGTTTCAGAAAGATTTTAAATATTTTTTGACAAAAAAACCTAAAACTTCTGATCTGATGTTCTTTAAATGTTGACGTCTGTTTGACTCTGTTTCTTCCTCAGCTGCCGTTTGAGAAGGAGATCTACTACATCCAGCACTCCATGATGTACTTAGTTCCTCTCTACCTTTTCAGGAAAGGAGGTGGGTGGTGATCAGGTGGTCTCTCTCACACACACACACACACACTGACCTTTCTGCACGGGCAGATGATTGTTCTCTAAACGACAGCGCTGCAGGTACCTGTTATTACTTTATGTTCACCGACGGCGGCTGCTGCTTTTATCCTAAACAAACATCCGATTACATATTCACAGTCGCTCAAACGAGATCCTCAAATATTCCTCCATGCTGCTCCTGTTTCTCTTGTTGTCTTGACTACAGGAAGCAGAGGCCGCTCGGTTCATAGCGTACACCTTTAAAACCTGCAGTGCAGAGATCTGAAAGCTTTCCCAGTGAAAACACATAGTTGCTCGCCGGTGCGTGTGCGTCAGGTTGAGACTGAAGACTTTTTATTAGGGAAATATCCAAGAAATTATGAGACAWTGTGAATGCCACAAAGGTATAACTAATAAAAACACAGCAAATAAACCGTCTGCAGGGGAAATGCTTGAATGAATCTAATTAGTAGCAGAGTAAAAACAACTCGGAGCCTGAAGTGGAAGCAGAAAGCAACCAAAGAAAGTGTTTATTTGGACAGGGAAGTTGATACAATAAGAATTCAGGAAAGGATTGTTGTTTATGCTTCAACAACTTGTTACATATTTATCCTTCGTTAAGGACAAAAACTAATTGTTAAGCAGGTGGAAATGAGATGAAAGTCCATGTGTTGAAAGGACAGAGATGATTACAGGATCAGAGTGGGAGGTTCAGTGTGGGTCAGCAGGGGGCGGCACCCCGCCTTCCAGTCTGTTCTGATCAGAATCAGACAGCTGCTGTTTTCTTTCCACCCCTCAGCTGTTTGAACTGGACCTCAAAGTCCTGCAGATCCAAACAAAGTTAACGTCTGAGCTGAACCCACGCGTTTGGTTGAGGAAGACCTGGAAAGACTTTAACGTGACACGTCGTGTGGACTTGTTGACTGTCTCAGGAGGATGTGGTCACGTCGTGGTTGAAAGACATTCGTTTTGTTCTAGAGACACGGTGCAGAACTCCTGGGAAACCCCTCCCATCATTAAACACAACAGCATGGTTTCTTCTAGCCAGGGTCTCCTCTCCAATATCGGTCGTTTGGCAGAGGTTTATAAAGTACTTGAAACTACGTAGAAGTACAAATACCTTCACAGAAAATGACTGAAAAATTGACATAAGTAAAGTAAACTCCCGTACATCAGACGTTACATCAGTGTCTCCTCACTGCACTGGTCTTGGTGCTGCTCTATACYAACATAAGGTTGATCTCAGAACAGATTGAACTGTGAACAGGAGYCAGATCCTCTCACCATCAGTCCAGCAGTGATTATGATTGACAGTTGATGTGTGTGTGGGATGATGAACCTGTAGTGCAGCTGATACTATAATACTGATAATACAAAAATGTTTGTCATATTCCTGCCATGTGATTATTTGACAGGAGTTTTACTTTTAAACTSTAAGTGTATTTAATTTAGTTWTGTTAGTTTAGTTATGATGTAAATACAATAAAAGTTAAACCAAAATTTAGAATAATTATCATTTTGATCCATACATTGGTAATGTCTGACTGGGCCTCGTGCCACTTTATGTTCAATAAACTGGGCCCTGAGGTCAAAAAGGTTAAGAACCCCTGGTTTAATGTAACTTTTGTGTCAGCTGACCTTCATTTATTATGACTATCAGAGGACCTGGCAACTACCTGATAACACCATTTATTTCACTTTAACTAAAGTCACTGATGCCCTCTGGTGTTTGTTCCATACATTACAGCTCCTCATAAATCAAATAATGCTCAAACTGAATCATTCCTCAAGTGCTTCAGTCTTTTTTCTTTCTTTTTTTTTTTGTCAGTGAGTGTAAGTATTGCTGTCATGCAGACCTTCGGTGTCAAATCCACACACTGAGTTTAAACGGTTGGAGCTCTAACCTGCAGACTTATGGTGACGTGTGACTCTGTTTGCAGGAGCGTACAAGCCCGAGCCTCTGGGGGACATGTGGTGGGCTCTGCTCTCCACCGGGATCCTGTTCCTCTACCACTTCCTCTTCCTGCAGACCCTTGGCCTGGTGAGATGGAGCCCTCTGCTGGCCGTTCTGTGSCGTTACACCCATTACCTTTATTCATTGGTGGTTTCATTTATTAAATGATTTTTTTTTTTTACAATAAGGTGAGGCAAATAGGATTAAAAATATAAACATATAGCAGATTGTTGAAACAGCTTTAAGACAGATGCACAGAAAAAAACAATGATGAGAAGAAGAGCTGCTTCATTAGATTAAATGTATCAAGCTGTTGATAAAAGAAGATGAATGTTGAAGTATGTGGGTGGGTTTTTATTTGAATAAATATAGAATTAAAGATAAAAGGAAACTGGTAGCAGCTTTTTAAAGCTCTGAGAAAATATCTGAATCAGAGTCAATTTAAATAATAAAAAAACATAATACAATTAACATTAAATAAACTGATTTACAGTTACACAGTAAAAATACTTCATTACATTTTGATTTTTTTATTGCAATCGTTGCACTAAAGTGATGATTTTTAAGCTTTGGTTGAGAAAAGCATTAATATTTACCATAAACCATTTTAAAATAAAAAACATCATAAGCTTCACATGCTAATATTTATATTTAAGATATTCTGAATCATTTTTTTCTGTCCTCCCTCCCACTTCAGCTTTAAAACTAATTAGACAAGGATTTTAAAAAAACTGAGAGAAACCGTGCAGTGATTACAAGATGAGAATCAAGCAGCAGCTAAATGAGTTCCTGCAGCTCAACGATAAGCTGTGGACGACTTCAGAGGGGCCGAACTCATCATTCATTCCCGTTTGAGGGGAAAGATTTGTGGAGCAGAAACTCAGAGGAAATGAATGATTCATAAAGATATGTCGTGTGGAGTCAGCCGTGACATCAGCCTGAGCCTCACCGAGTGGATAATACCTCTTAAATTACCATTAATGTTAAATGACCCCCCCTCTTCTGTCCTCCAGGCCACTGAGGTCAACCTGAACAACATGCTYTGTCCGGCCGTGTCCGACCCCTTCTACGGACCCTGGTACCGGGTGTGGGCCGCGGGCCACCAGACCCTGCTGACCCTCATCCACGGAAAGCTCCTCACACTCATCTCCCAATACAGCGGCTCCATGTGCAGGACCGGGCTGGACGCGCTCCGCCTGCGCAGCAAGAAGGTGGATTAACCGTCCCACCTGGACCCGCCCCCCCTCCCCAGGCCTCTCGCTCCGAAAAAACCTGCTCCTACCGCTCGATTGGTTTTTAAAGCGTTGTTTTCGTGGATCTTTTTAAGACGTGGAAACGGCGCGGGGGCCGGTTTGGGTGTCCTGCAGGTGGTCCTGCACGCACAGRCGTGCATTTTAAGGCTGAGGAGCTGACCGGGGAGTCGTTTGGATTAAAACCTCCAGGTGTGTGTAAACATAGGAAGAGTTCTCTCGCTGGACTTGTTTTAAAAGACAGAAAACACCTGAATGTCTCAGATGTTCCCTTCAGTTTATCACGTAATGTTTCTGCTACATGTTTTATTGGGTAAAGCTGCCATTTCGTTTGTCTCAAGTGCGCTTTTTTTTTGTTTTTTTAAGCAGATTGTAAACGTGAGCTGTTGTAAAAGCTTGTGACGATGTTCAATCTCAGTGTTGTCACCTGTAAATGTAAAAACAAAACAAATTAGGAATTTTTTATTGTTCATGTTTGCTCTCGTCATTCCAGTATGATAATCAAGAGAGCCGAGGATTTATTTCATGCTGTAAGTTCTGGTTCTCCTCTGGGACGGTGTGTCCCCTCTGCAGAGGAACTTGTGTTTTTAGTGTTTTTATTGTAGTCTTTATATATTCAACAAGGTGTAACCTTGATTTCACTTTTTAGGATAAATATCAGTGTCCAGTACAGGAAGGATGTTGATKAAATGTGTATCTGTGCTGGAATTCTGTGACACGTAAAGTCATTGCTTGATCGTCAGGTATTCTGTCGAAGCATCTTAAATCTGTAATAAAACTCACTGTTAAATATGTGTCAAATAATCTGCATGACGTCTCTGTGGGTCTTTTATTGATTTACCTCTAAATAAACAGGTAATTAGATGATGTTGGTCATGTATCACATTTCACCAAAGAGTTTCGTTTTACTGTAAGAAACGTTTACTTGTGTCAGTTCAAAGTTTTGTCAACAATAAAAGGGAAATTCCCATTGACTGAATAACTCATTGTCTGTGTGTATTCAATTCAAAAAATTTACTCATTTCATTAAAAACAAAATAACTATATACAATAGAAACTAAGAAAACACACAAATAAAATTAAAATGAAAGGTAGCAGAAAAATAAATCTGTCTCTTTTTATCCCCAAAATATATTCAAAGAAAACAATGTACTAAACAATACTAAATAAAGATAAAAACATCAACTCAAACAACATACCTTCAGAAAACTAGCTTTTATCTGTCTCTTAAATATATACATAGAACTAGCATTTTTAAAATCATCGTCCAGACCATTCCATAATCCTATACTCTGGATTAAACTATACCCTGGATTAACGTACATCTTTCTCTCAAGCAAGTATGAAACTATGGCTTCACAAACATTTCCAACCACTTAAGATAACAACTGTCTCTCTTAAAGTTTACCTGAATGTTGGAAGGTTTTTATGAGCCTTGTACATAAACAGTAAAATATTAGTCAACCAAATCATGGAATTTCAAAATGTTCAATTTGCAAAATAATGTATTTGGTGGATGGTTGTAATCTTTTTAGTGATAATTCTTATGGCTCTTTTCTTTTATTAAAACTATGGAGAAATAATTGTAACCAGATTTGATCATTTCTGTGATTTTTATTTGTTCTGGAATTGCTATGTGCTTGTAGCTTGGTAAAACATAATTATAAATAACGTTRTGATGCATTCTTTCAAGAAACGCTGAATGTAGGACATGATGCTAACCTAAACTTCCTGTTTTTTTCTTCCTGTTTTAACCATTTTATGTAAACTACACAAGTAAAATTTGTTTGTTAGATTATTTCTTTGTTGTAACAATGCTTCTTGATAACAAATCTTATACTGTTGAAAAGTGTTCATTTTCCTTTTAAATGGTGCCACATTTGTAAGGAACATGCATTAGTGGGATGAGCAGTAGAGCAGAGTATGTGAGTTGCAGACATGAAATATTTCCAAATCTCAGCCTATTTTGCAGTTAAGGGGACGAAACCAGAACTGACCTCTAGCAGGGCTCACAGCTGCTGACATTCAGGCACCTGARTGGCAGCACCTGGAGGTACCAGAAGATCCCACAAATGCATGTTCCTTACAAATGTGGCCCTGTTTAAAAGAGAAATTAACAGACTTTCCAATGGTATACGATTTATTGAGAAGCATTGTTATAACAAATCATCTACCAAGCACAAGTTTATTTACTTTTTGTACACCTTTTTTGGTTCTGCAAAGCTTGTTTAAAGAAGTTTGAACTTTAAATAAAATCTTAACTAAAGGCTCGACTTAATCAAAAGTGATAAAAACAGTAAAATGGTGCCTAACATACTTGTGCTCACTGTCKAAGTCACTAAGGTGGCATTAAAAAGCCGTAAATTTGATTGTCAGTCTGCAAGATTCTGTTGCTCAGACTCAWTCCGTCTCTGGTTAACACCGACGCGGTTAAAAGAAAAAAGTTAAAAATTAAAAATAATGTTTGAAGTCTAAATTCTGYTCTGTGGAAACTCATGAGTGCAGAGTCACAAGACGTTCTCGTGGTTTGGTTAAAGCCTGAAGACGAGTGTGGATCAAAAGATCAAAGTTAGAATGAACCAAAACCTTGTTCATAAACTTTTAATAGAGAGGTCTGAGCTCCTTCGTTTCTCTATCATACAGTGAGTAGATCCACTTTGGTTTGATTTTGTGACATTACAGCCTGGACTTTAAACAGATTTTCAGTTTGATATAAAAATACTGAACTTACAAAAAGTAAAATAGGTTCAAAATTAAAATGTTTTGAGCAYTATGAAAATTAAAAATGAATGAGCTTTGCACAAAACAAAAAGTGAAAAAGTGAAGTTCCTTGGTCTTCATGGTGTCCCTTGCTTGGAGGTAGACCTCCTTAAAGGTGTTGARTCTGGCTGCTGTTAGAACAGGTATTGTTCACAGGTGGAACTAATTAAGTGAAGGTTGTTCGTGTAAACAAAAACTAAATACAAAGGAGTAACAACGTTTTAACTCTTGAGACACTGAAATAAAGAGATTTACTTGTTGCATCTGTAAAACACAAACACCATGAATTCGTATAGGATGACATGTTATAAAACAAAAGATTTGATATAAATCTATTAAATTCATTTATGCCACCATGCTCCATTTTTTACTTGTTTCTCTGCTCCAACACACCTGTTCTACAGAAGCCTGATCGCTGATTAAAACCAGGTGTGTTGGAGCAGTGTAGCTGTTTTAAGATGGCAACAATCAACACATTTATTGCTTTGATTGAAAAAGGTTTTTTGCATAAATCAAATGCAAATGGAAATTTGAAGAAAGGACTAGCCATTAGCTTGTTTTAGCCATGTACAACAGGTAAGATATTAACTAATCCACGGAACCCCACTTTATGTTTTTAAACACTAGTTTAATCTTAGATTTTTTAGGTACTGGATGCTAAAACAAGCTAAACAAGTGGAACTCGTCACACCTGGAAGAAGGCAAGAGAAAGACACAGGTTTTCAGGATATTTTATATTTTTTTTATTGAATAAATGATCTTAAAAGGTAATAATGTTTAAAACTACATCTTCACAGCCATTGCTTACATACTCAGACAAGTCATCTTTAAATATTCTTTCAGGCCCTCGCCACATTTTCTTGTATCGTTTTCTTTACTTAGTTGGAGTCTTTTAGAGTCATACTTTCAMAATAATTTGCCGCTTCGAGTCCCGTCACACTAACAGCAGTCCAGTTGGAAAAGGAAGGAAGGGTCTAGCTCTACAAGGTTGGAATTAAAAGTTCCCAGTTCTTTTTTCTTTTTCATCAATGTTTTTCAGAGTACTGAAGAAGAGGGAAAAAATGGATAAAAAAAAAACTGACAAAAGGAAATAAAAGTTGGTATGAGGAGTTACACCAGGTAACCCTCCCAGCCCATCAGGCCACTGCAACACAAAGTCTTTTTGTACAGTGACACGTCTTCGAAGTCAGTGTCTCYAAAAATTCAGAACATAGAAAACCACTAAAATAATTTTGAAACTAGATTCAAAATATTCCTTTGAAAAAAATTTATTTTGATGTACAAAAACAGTCATATTCTCTTTTTTCCCATTTTTTTTCAAATACTTTTTTATAATAAAAGCTTCAAACACAGGTTTATTGTAGTACTTATTTGTCATTATCATTATTATTATTGATTCTTTTCTTCTTTTTATTTATTTATTTTTTTAATTAATCTATCAGTGCGATTGTATACCAGTGCAGCTACTGGGCAGAGTAAAGAAACAGGCTTTTTTTTTATCTTTAATGGCATAAAAAATAAGGAAAACTTTTTTCATACAAAGTATAACTGCTGGTCTTTAGGGAAAAGAAAAAAAAAAACATTTATAAACCCATAAAGCTAGGAGGCACACCATGGGATTTTCATTTTTGAAAAATTATAGCATTAATAATAATAATAATAATAATAATAATACTAACAGAACAAGTAACAATTTGCAACCATTCGACCATCTTGATGCCATAACTGACAGAATCAATGAAAATTCATTGAAAAACTGGGTTGCTTTAAAAAGTCAGACAGTTGAGAAATCGCACACAAAAAAAAACTTTTTTTTTTCGTCAATAGCAGGGGTTTTATTTTGGAAGGACAGGAAGCCAAGGCCTGTAGAGCAGCATTTGGACATGGCCGCRGGCGTCTTTGGTTCAGTCAAACATACGAAGGTGACGTGAGCTCGAGCGTCCCACGMAACGACCCGAATGACCACGGAGGGAGCGCTGAGGCTGAACTCTGAACCCCGGTACGGAACCAAAACGCACCATCTGCTACAACTATCTGCCGCTGTCGTTCCTCGCTATTCCACAAGGGCTTCAGGTTTTAAARGGTTTGTCGGGACAGAAGCACGTCTTTACGACGACTTATCTGGAAAAAAAAAATCTTAAGAGCCAGAATGTGTTTAAGATTTGAGATTAAAGCAGGAAAAAGTCAAAATACCTGTTAGCCTTTGCATTGTTGTGACTTTATGCTTCAGAGCAGCTTTTAAAAAGAAAATCCTTTCAGCAACTTTAACAGAGAATAATAATTTWGACTATTCTTGAAATAGTTCTTTTTAACTATTTTCAACTTTAATTGAAGCAATCAACAAAAATATTAAATCTTATCAACTTTGTTTTATTGTCTTTCTGAGTTACCCTGTTCTGGTATAATGGATGTTTCCTTTCAATGTAACAATAATAATAATAATAATAATAAAGAGCTTGGTTTAGCCTCCAAAACATGTTTGGCTTTTCGAGCAGCTCAATCTGCATGAAAGCAAAAAGAAAAACTAATCTTCCTGTCGAGGCAACGGCTGCTAATGCCTACTTCTAGTGAACGACACGCGTCACGCTTCGACAAACTAGGCCATGAGTTTGGGCCACAGTGTAAGGGCAAACTGAGGGGCAGGAGGTTTCCGTGTGACTTCTTGTCCTTTCAAACCTGCAACGTATTGACTTGCACTGGTAGGAAAAACAAAAAACAAACAAAATAAAACACCTGTTGAACAGATCTGCATATATCAAGGATTGTAAAAGGTAACATGTAAGATCTTCTCTGAATAAGTCTCTGCTAAGTTGCAATGACAACCATTAACAGTACATTCCGTAGCCCCCGTGCCGTCCGTCTTCATTTTCAGTAAGAATGTTCGTTTTACAACAGAGCGTTGATCCCCCGAACCGCCGACACAAAACCAGAGCTCATCTTCTTTTTTTGTTTATTTTTTTAGGGGGCTACTGTTTGCGTCGAGAGAGAGGAAAAAAAAAGAGAATCGTCCTTCAGTTTTAAAAATGAGCCGCCATTTCACAGCGACGCATTTCAGAGAAGAACCTTACATGTAGCATCATTAAGTAAATGATATGAATGAGTCCGCATGACCAGTCACGAGCTGTGACCGCCCCAATATGAGGTCCGATAGCACCATAGTTGTCTTTCGAAATCTCTTAACGGTTAAGAGTGTCTAAGCCATAGATCAAGCATATCGTGGATAAAACCATAGGTCTCATACTCATATGTACATGCAACRAACTACATTGCATGTGTTTACAAAGACATATATGTAAAAAGAGCATGGTCAATTTGGTTTTGCAGCAGAAACAATTCAGGTTGTGCTGTATAGAACGGACCAGGGAATGCACGTCTGACTGCCCCTCTTCTTGTAGGGAACGGTAGTTTTTGTTGATCCAGGTATGGTGGTTTGAAGGGTAACACCACAGTGGGTAATCCCTCTGGGAGAGTGATTATGTGAAATCTGGGCAGGATGAGGAAAACAGGAGACAGGATCTCCGGTACGAACGCTCCGGTAAAAGCGTTGCAAAGTGAAGCCACGCTTGGCGTTGGGAGTAAAGCTGGGAAAGAGCGAAACCACGAGATAGAGGAGCACTCAGAGCGTCGATCCGCTGGTCCGTTGTTTTCGTGAATCATTTAAGGCAACACAACTGAAATCTGGATTATTTCGGGTTACTGTGGATGGAGTTCCAAAAGCCCTTGACATTTTTGCATAAAGAAAACAAAAAAAAAACAGAATCTGTCAGTTGGTAAAGGCTGTTACGACAACAAAGAAGGATGTTAGTCGAGTAACGAGAACCTCTCAAATTTTCCAGTTATCAACCAAAACAGAGCAGATCACTTGGTGCTCCTCAACACATTCGTTAAACGTGAGTTCAGTGTYTGGATGTGACTCACCTGGGGAGATCTGGATGGGAGGTGGCTCTGAAAGGAGGCCCCGCACCAAGGTTTCTGCTCCAACAAACTCAGCTGAAAACCCTTTTTTTTTAAATTACAGCTGAAAAAACAGACCACGACTCAAAAACATTCCCTGCGCTGTCAACACAGGTCAACGGGAGCTCACTGAAAGAGTGAGGGGGTGGGACACGGCGGCGGTGTGGTCTCAAGACCCAAAAATCAAGTTGTTTCCACGCATCACAACAACACGCACGTCTGAACGACACAAACGGGTTTTTAAGATGACTCGAGTGGCGTGCTCGTTCAAAAATGACTCGTTACGATACGTCATAGTTTGTGGGAGGACCTCGTAAACCTACAGGAAGTGACCGAATGTAAGCACTTTGAGACGATTACACAGACAACGTGTGGAATAAAGAGAATATGGCTTTAAATTGTTTCAGCAAACGACTCCCTGCCAGAAAACTAACGGATTTCAATGAAATATCCTTTTTTTTTTTTTTTGGAGACTTTTAAACACACCTGCACCCCTTGACTCAAGAAAACCAGACACTTTATAAAAAAAAACAATTAACCAGTTTGCTTCAGCATGACTCTCTTCAAACTACTTTCACACTTTTTTCAGTTTGAAGGAAAAACAAACTGTTCCACCACTAAACCCTACAACCAATCAGTGGGGACCGGGGCTTCGGAAATTCTTCAAAAACCCAATTTCTGATTTATTTTACTGGTTTTCTTCTTATGTCTGTCATCCACAAACACACACACACACACACACACAATCGTGAGCTCAATCACTAAACACCACCACCGAAGGCTGATTTAAAAATAAGTGCGTCACGATCCTACCTACGCTTTGGAGTACACACATCTGATTACAAAGTTCTGACTACGACACGACGAGTTCACACGGCCTAAACAACCTGAACAGTCAAGTTTTGAGAGGAATCCAAGTAAAGAGACAGCCTTAGGAACTGCAGATGCCTTGCTACATGACAACACGTCAGGATAGTTTGATTATAATAAAACAAACAAAATTATTAGTAAATGAGAAACTAGTAAAGCCTAAATCCACTCAAAGACTTCCTTCCATCCACAGAATCAAACAGCTGATAGGTTTGCTCAGAAGACGATTAGAAAATCTAATATTGGTTTCATTTTCAAAGGAATAATGAATGAMCAGGGGGGTATTGGTTTAGGTATGCATATGCTGCAAAAAGCTCAACCACAGGCAAACTAAAGGAAACACATGGATTTCTTGCCAGAATTCAGATGATGCTTCTTTGCCACCCGTTGCCATGTCAACGTCTGGGAGACGGCCAGCACGGCAACGGAAACAATCATCATAAAATGGTACAGTAGTAGAAATAGCTAGACCAGGAGGGGGCAGGCTCTCCTGGGAAAAGGTCTGCGGAGAGGTCCAGTGACTGGTCATGCGGCTCGCTGTCAGGAATAATGATTGTAGGACGGCACTGGGTGCCCGATGCCGTTCTGGTAGTGATGGTGCTGGCGGTGGGCGATGTACTCTGCATAACCCAGCGTCATCTTCTCGCTACGGTACCTGCGGTCGACAAGAACAGGCAGCTCAATCAAATCTGCACCAAGACACCAAGACAAACAGGTCTTTTTGTTTCGCTTTTTCTTTTTCTTCAGATTACCCATAATGCTTTGCAGGTATTTTACCAAAGAGTTTGTATAGAACAGCTGGAGCTCAGAAACCAGGTGACCAATCAGCTGGTGAAGCTAACAGCTAACGTTAAATGGTCAAGAGTCTGGTTTTACCATTACTGTACATGTTGACAACAGAGCAGAAAAAAGGACAATGTAGAAATCATAAAAACTATTAATAATAATATTAACCCAATTAATATTTTACAGTTTATATAATCTAATGTTTTAAATAATGTCAGAAAAGCTGTTTGTGTTATGGATTTATTAACAGAAGATAAACAGGAAAACGTCTCATTTTACAACAAGTCAGCAGATTTGATCTTATTTAGCTCAATGTGATCTGAGCAGAACATAATGTAACAGTTTAAAATTAAAATAATCTTATAAAGTCCATGTAATCACTGTTATTTATTGAACTGGTTAGCAGATATTAGCTTGTAGAGCATGCATACAGAGTGTAGCTCTGTTGAATCATGCTACAATTGAACACAAACTATTAAATATTACTTTGTCCTCTGATTAATATTTAGACCTACAGAGTGTAAAATAATATTATAAATGTCTGATTAATATTTAGACCTACAGAGTGTAAAATAATATTATAAATGTGAGTATTTTTAAGTTTCTGTTAGAGGAACCTGACTTGTTAAGAAGATGGTTAGCTAATAGAGACAAGTTTCATCCTATAACCAGAGAACATTTTCTAACTGTTGACTGGTAAATATAAATATTATTCATATTTTTATGACAGTAAGAAGAAATAATAAATATACTTTATTACTAGCTGAAGTCATCTTTTTTAAACTAGCTAAAGTCTAAGTTACAGGCTGACTTCAGGTCTGGTTTAGATCATTGTATATTTTTCTGGTATATATCTGATGTTTTACATGATTGTTGAATTAAATCAACATAGTTATTAATTTATTGTAAAAACATGACCAATAATCAGCGAAACAGATCTAGTTCAGCTTGCTGTTTATTAGTTTCTATGGAGGCTGTGAGCTGTTGCCCTTTTTGGTCTGTTTCTGCTCCTCCARGCTSTCACAGAAGCTACCAGTGGACYGGATGGGCGGGGCTAGYATGGTTGTCAAYCTTTTTATGCCCCACCCCTTTTTGGGGAAAGAATGTCTTTTTGGGTTCCACCCTTGCATCTTGCTGGAACAACAAAAATAATTTGTTGTTCCATCAGTTGTTCATTCTAAYACAAATAAAATAAAACAAGAAGTCCCATCACTTTATCAGAACCGAAACAATAACATTCAATACGTGCACAGAAAAGTGCAATGGTAGAATAGTGACAATTTGATTATTTCCACTGGATAACTTTAAACAAGAACAATAATTAATTTGTTACTAAATTAAAAGCTCATGTTTATAAAAGGAGATACCAGATGTTTTCAACAGTGAGGCTGATGTTTGTATTACAGCATTAAAAGCTCGGTGATAGACATTTCCACACCACCACTGTAGATAAAGCTGCCTCCACATTTCAGCAGCCGTGCACACGCCTCTCTCAGATCCAGCAGCGAGAGCAACATCAGCCCACCTCGACCATCATCACTCTAGCAGGTGGTCCCTGATTTCAGGTGACACCTCTTCCAGCCAGTAAACTCCTTCACTTCCTCTCRGCTCGTCATCACTCCTATTCCTGTCGCTCTGTCTGACTCAGTGTTTTCTCAGAGTGGTGACGGCAGGTGGGATTACCTCCTTACACTGGTGTTACTCTGATTTCCTCAGTCGCTGAGGGATTTGAATAGTAAACGTTTGTAGTTTAGGTTTTTGGACTGGAATTGAATTGTGCAGAGAGGTTGAGCCTGGTGAGTGGAGGGAGCTATTTTACCCACCACCAAGRGAAAAGGCAGAGCCAAGAGGCAGCAAATAATGGCCTTATCCACCATACTTATCTTTAGCCACCCRAATCATTTGAACAAAATCTTTTAAGCAATATAAAAAACAAGAAAGCCTAGTTTCATTAAATACATCAGTCTGTTTATTGTTGAGTGCTTGTTTTTACTGTATTTGTTTTTACTGTAATAAATTAGAACAAAATTAACACAAACCTAGAGTTGAGACAGGGCTTTACAGACAGTCTAGAAATTATAAATTCAGGCTGTCATGTGGAATAACATCAGAAGTGTTTCTACTTTCACCTGAGCAGTTAAATTATAAACATGAACATTTCTGTGATTATGTATTGATGGTTCCCAAACAACTGTTCAGTTTGGAGTTTGACTTGTTTTGATTAGGATTAGGCCGTAGTGTTTCTTTTCCTGCTCTTTCTGTCAGTTTCCATTATTAAAAAAAATAACAATAATAATAAACTTGTGTACAAATCAATCGGTTTTATTATGGTCTGTTTTTGTGACATGATATGACCCAGAATGCACCAAATCTCCCCATTTGTTTCTGGGTGGAGGCGTGCCCAGCCCCACCACACTAGACCTGCCTTCAAGTTGATTCTCGCAGCTTTTCTACTCTTCTGAAAGGAGAAAAATCACGGCTGATTGGTGAGGACTCTCATGCTGCCCGGTCCACCTTATTACTATGGGAAGGGGATTTMTGTGACACAGGAATGAGTCAGAGTTGCAGTACTTTCAATCTAAACATTAMGTCCAAGTTTTATGAGCCAAAGGGAGTGGCTACCCCAGCACTACAATGGCACCAGAGTGTACGGAATCACTGACACAGAGGACAGTAAACTGATCCCATTTTTTATCTGCACACCTAATTCTTCCTCCTTAAGTTGTAAAATCTCAACAAGTAAAAAGAAATTATTTTTAAAGATTTAACTACCTTAAAGAAAAATAAAGTTTTTGTGATATTTTCACTGCTGCATTAAGACCTTCTTTCAGATCACCGTATGACATGATGCAACATATAATATAACACAGACACAGTCATGCATCACCACAACTGAATTACTGCAGAGAGGTTTACCTGGTTAACTTAATGGTCTTCCTGAAGTCATTTGTGATGGGAGCTTTATATCCTCCCTTTCGTAGTAAGGAATCTATGGTTTGAATGTGGTCCCAACCTAAAAGGAAAAAAAATAATAAAAGTCTTCAGAAAACATATTTTATTTTAATAAATCCGGTTGAATTATTACGAGGGGGCGAACAAAAGGACCTGACCTTGCTCCTTTGCAACCTCTGGCAGGTAGGTGGCGGTGCGTTTTGATCCTTTTTCATTGAAAAACTCTATTCGTATACCATGAATACCCACCTGGAGTCAGAGACGAGCACAGAAACACAAAATTAAAGTTTAATCAGAAAAAAATCAAGGAAGCCAAAACTGGCACAGGAGCTATAGTTAAAAGAAAATCAGTAACGTTGTTACGTCTTATCAACAAATGCAAAAATAAATCTGGGTCTTGATGTCCCGATACAGATACTGGTATCAGCCCCAATGAGCCTTAAATATTTGTACTCTTAAAACACCCCCTTTGGATTAATATCACTTTGATGCTTAATGATGTCATTTCCAAGTAACCCAAAGCAATATATATGAACATCTGTAGTTTGGAGGTATTTAAGACACACACAGGTGATGTAAATTGATGTTTTTAATATAAAAGGTTTTTTTTAATTTACTGTGTAATATTTAGGTACTAACTCATTAAATACTCTATATTGATACTCAGTACCAGCCAACGCCAAAACTGAAGTACTTGTATGTGTATGTGAGYAAAAAAAGGAGTATAGGGACAAGTTAGCTTTTAGTTAGCTGTTAGCTTTTATCACCACCTATTGCCAAAAAGGAAAGTGGGATGATATTGTTTGTCTGTTAGCATAATATRTCATAAACCAGTTGATGTACTTTAATAAATCAAAAAACTCTACAAGTATTTATTGGGCTTACATCTATAACTGAACTGATTACCTTTTGGGGTCAGCCCAATTTAAGATGTTCATRACAGCTAACTGTAAACACATAGCTTAGCCTTAGTGAATTTCACAGATAATGAGTCAAAATTTGGTGTGGTAGGTAGTGAGTCATCTTTAACACATTCTGAGGGCCACTGGATTGTTAGATTGTGTACCGCTGTTATTAAAATTTAACCAAAACAACTTTAGGTCCAACAATTTGATCTTTGTTTGAAGCTTTGACATGAAAGGCAGGTGATGATATGAAGGATTTAGATAATTCAGATCACTACTTTTGGCTGCTCCCTTCTTCAGGAGTCGTCACAACAAGCACACTTGCTTGCTTATTTATTTATTTATTTATTTAGCTAGCTAGCTAGCACCAGATGCACTTCGTGATGACAAAACCTGGGTTCAAACCCGCAGCCTCAGTATTACGAGACTGCGGACCTGAATACRGATTCTGCCCTCGAGACGCAACGTGTTGGCCCAGAGATGTGGACGCTCCGCTTTGCACCACTCACCTCCCACTCAAGGTAATCGCCGACGTCTTCAAAGTTGGTGAGAAGAGACACTGAGCAGAAGAGGCGAGGCAGCTCATCCCTTGTCATAGGGGGGAAGCGGCTGTCTTTAAGGGCACTGCAGACAAAACGAGACACAAACGGCGTTACAAAGTACGGACAAAAAGCTAAAGTTAGTCGACTAAAGAAACATGCAGCTCTGCACACCTGCGTCATGCGCCTTGTGTGTGCATGTAGCATCATTAGCATCTCGTGTCCACCTGCATTGTGCAGGGCTGTAACTCTGGTTTGGATAGGCCGAACGGCACAAATGACCCCACCCACCTTCAAATCCTCAAACTAATAGAATCAAACTAACAGATGAAGAGTGACAGTCACTCAAATCCTTGTAATTTGGTCAGAAATTGTTATTTAGGCTGAGGAAAATGTCCTAAAGCACTTTGGGAGGTGTAGGCCGGTTTAATCTAGGTGGATTAATGATTCAGAGGCAGTACAGCAAAGATAAGATGGATTTTCTGATTATGTTTTCAATCATTAGATATAATTCTGGTTTTATTTGTTGGTTTGCAGCCATGTTGGTTATTGGTTATTTCACTTGTTAATTGAACTGCTTGTGGTTTAACTGTGTTTGGTGGAAGCAGGAATGGTTTTTATGAGCATTTAGCCAAGACTTCTGTGGATACCACACGTCTATGTTTAAATGACAACTCTTGAGTTAGCGATCATCAGTTAGCATTAGCTTATGCTAATTTCCCTATCCAATAGTGGTTTTGCGCTAACAAAACTAACTCTTTGGTTAGCTGTGCCCACCACTGCCTGCATGTAAACTGCAACGCTGAAAACATAAATGTTCCTTTAAATAGTAAATCCCTGTTAACTTCTGGTTAAGTTGATTTACAGAAACAGCAGATATGATAGACAGCGGGGGTCTTGAGGGGTAAACGTTCCCAAAACTAAACAAAGCAGCCCAAACTGACCTGTAATTAATCACTTAGCAGGACATTTTGTTCTTTACATGTCATATAACAGACATGTGTTCATGTTGGACAGRAGGTCAGCAGGAAGTCCTCCATGGAAGTGACAGGATCTGCACCCAGGCAGCTACTAATCCAACCATAAGTTCAACTACATCTGTGGGGAGAATTTAGAGGGGGGGTCATAAAATGTGTCTACACCGGAGAGACACAAGCTTGTGGCCTAATTGCTGCACTTTATAGCAAAGATTTAGGGGCGCTTGTTTAAAGAAAAAGAAAAAAAAAAGTCATCCTCGACTGACTCCAGAACTCTGTGGGGGCCCACACCATCTGTCACAGCCTCCCTTGTGATGGAAATACTTTTTTATGACGGTTGACTGCATGGTTGGGTGTGACACYCTGCACAACTTTCACTCTCTTTTTTTTAACCATTTAACTGATGTTACATATTGGAGCCATTACCACATACATGACGTAATCATGTTATACAAACAAACTGAGCTTTTTTTTATCTTGAAATGATGTTTCATCTTTGTGAAACTTATTGCCATTTTTTCACTAAAGAAGATAAAAACTTTTTTCTATAGTTACTTCAAAATTAAGTTTTGGTGTCAATGTCACTGCCAACTTGTTGCCTCTTGTTTTCAGACACTAAAATTGTAGCTATGTGAAGAAGTTATGAACAATAAATCTCTCACTTGTCYTAGATAAAGCTTTAAAATTGAGTTTAATTCTTACTAGACTGATAATCTAATGGCTAGTCTGTGAGGCAGACACCAAAGTGGATTGCTGCGTGTTATAACGACTGAACAATTTCAAATTGATTCATGCCAGCGGTTTTAAACAGGACCAGGCGTTAGCCGTTACGTCCTGTTAAAAATGAGCATGATAAAAGTAATTCATAGTATTATTTTCTCTCACAAACGTGTAGAAATTGTTTGTGTTCAGAACACAGCTTTAATGGGTTAGTTCAGCTCAGTGCTGCAGTATGAAATAATCAGCCTTTGCTTGGTGGCACTTTCAGTAGGAATTTCACATTTCTGCTAAAACTGAGTAACTGTTTAAATATTTAAGGCAGGAGATGTCAAAGAAAGACAGCAACCTACTTTTGGTCTTGCCCTAAAACTGCTCAAAACGTTTTATTTTTTAACTTGGTGAGAAAAATAAAACTATTTTTCCAAAACTGAGGTCTGTCGAAAAGCTACCAACAACAGGTAAGATACTAACTCTTCATACCCTTCCCGCTGGACACAACTAAAAATTAACTCCTTACAAAATAAGGAAGTTTGTGTTTAGTAGATTATTTCTTTGTTGTAATAATGTTTCTTGGCATTAAATCTGTGCCGRTGGAAAACCTGTTAATTTCTCTTTTAAATMGTGCCACATTTGTAAGGAACACGCWTTTGTGGGATGAGCAGTAGAGCGCAGGATGTGGGTTGAAGACATGAAAAAATTTGCCAAATCTCTGGCAAACAGCATATTTTGCTACTATTGACTTTTGTTTTGAGCTTCTCTTCCCCCCAGGRGCCTGRTTTAAYCATTGTTACAACAAAGACATAATCTATCAAACACAAATGTTCTTTACTTTGTGTGCCAAGTTTATTTAAACTGTCCTTTTCATAAAAATCAAAGCAGAGGTAAATGTTTTTTTTTTTTAAACGAACTGGTTGTATGACGTATGTTCAGATCAGCTCCAAACCAATACAAGCAGTCAGGACATTCTCAGGAAGCAATCAATTTAAAGTTGTTTCATCTATTACAAAAAAATACGTCCTGAACAAACTGATACCAGGACCTGAAAATATATTTGAATGTTTTAACATAGAAGAGACACAAACTCTTATCATGTCAGGAAAAAAAATGTAAAACCTTAATATAGTAAACTTGCAATATTACCATTCTTTATTCCCTTTTATAGTTTAGATTATTAAGTAAGAACAGTAATGCACAGTAAAGTGTTGCTCACCTGGTAAGGGTGTACTCCCTGAGTCCTGAGTGCAGAGTCATGGCAGAAAATGTACCTATACAACCCCTCAGCCGCTTGTCTCGGCCTATTTTCCACGTGACAAACAGCGGACTGAAAGACAGGAAGAGGACGACAAACATTCACACCTCAGGGACATTCCTGTTAACAAAAAATATACATTTGCAGCACCCAGTATTTTCAATCCTTCAGCTAATATTTACAGAGATTTAAAGATTAAACTTTTTCCAGTTTCTTTTATAGTTACAGGGATTTCCCAGCTTTGATGGGGAGATTTGTGGGAGGAAAAAAAAAAACTGGCCTGAGGAATATGAAAATGAAACCACAAAGCAGCTCCACTTCTAGAGCTCATTTATCACTGTCTGGTTTCAACAGAAGGGTGTGACTAACAATAAAATGTCTAATTAAATGCTGCATTACTGAAGCAAAACAGCAAAAGAAGAACGCACGAAGACACCAGATCACGTTACTTCATCTCAGAGGACATCAGATTTATGCAACATAACAGAACTTGTGAAGTAATGTGTAAACAGAGATTTCATTTTTACTAATTCAAAACATATCTTAAAGCTACACATTCAAATGCTTGAATCATTTAGTTGGTTCCATGATGTGAACGTTTAGCACGGATATTTTTCTTATAAACATTTACAGCTATCTTGATTTGGCTACAATAGCTAATCGGATGTAGACYTGCATCCAACCATTATTTTGTGAAAATCCTATTAAAATATGTCCATAAGATATTTTGATAGTTAAATGAACACAAGCCGTCACACGCTCACCCACTGCGCATGGCAGCTTAGTGATAAAACAAAAGCCATACATTTAAACCACAACTTTGGTGTTTTTATAACCAATCCTACAAAAAATAAAAATAAATTCACATAAAATTATTTCTTTCAAAATTAAACATTCTGCTTAAAGTAGGTTTTGGAAAAATCACTTTTTTAATCCAGTGCACAAGAAAACAAGCTTGTCATCAACAACTGGTTTTGTTTTAATTAACAGCCAATCGTTAAAAACTCTGCTAGAATCTGTTAATTTTTTTGGTGAATAAGTTAATTTGCAACTTTAAACTTCTGATACTTATCGCTGCCCTGTATAGCACCTTTTCTGTAATAACATTCTGAAAAACTCATTTAGTGCCATTTTAACATCTGATTGTTATGTTAACAAGTTATACATGACTTCAAGATAAATAAGGGTCAACTGCATTAGCTGAATGCTAAAGAACCTGCACGGAAAGTACAAATAAAAGTGTTTTATTAGCTCTATAAATGTTGTTTTCAACACAAATTTAGGCTGGATTAATAAAAAAAATTATTCAAGCAGCCAGTGACACGTTTGTTGCCATCGGAACAAATCTTGTAGCAGTCTGAGGCCATGTAGTGTTTAATGCCAAAACACTGCAGAGTGCTGCGTCTCTGACCCATGTTGGTGTTGTTTTGAGCATTTCAGTAATTCAACCTGACAAGTCCCCCACCCCCCAAGTGAAGGACATGTTGAGGACAGACCATGAACACGAAGTGGTCCTCAAACCAGCTGGAGCTTCACAGCCTGAAGATCGGTACGTACGAATAGATCTTTAGATGGGTGGGGGCATGAAGGTCAGATCCACTCACCTTCACGACACGGCTAAGATTTCATCACGTTGAGCAAGTTTTCTTACCATGAGCAAAATGTGCACAGACGCTTTTGAGGTCTTAGTATGGAAACTCGAACTGGGCTTTCAAGCTAAAGACCCACCCCACCCTGCAAAAAYAGACTCTAAGGTATAAACCCTGTAACCTCTGGAGTGTCTGAGTGAGAAAAAGGAAGGAGCTCAATTTGCTTTAAAGGCAAAAGATTTAATTAAAAGACACAAAGCGGTGAAGCGCCAGAAAGAAAACACAAACCAGAAAGACTGACAGGATGCCAACAAATCACATGCATGCACACTGTTTCCTTTTTCTTTATAACTTATAATAAAGTAGCTCTAAGCATAATAAAATCAACACTCATGTAAGAAAATTATTTATTTTTTTCAACAGTCATCACAATCTCTAGAACAGAAGTGTCCAGTCCTGGTCCTCCAGGGTCGCAACCCAGCATGTTTTACTCATTTCCTCTGCTCCAACACTGATCACTCAGTGATTGAATTACCTCTTCAAGTTCTGCAGAAGCCCATTAATCACCCATCCATTCAAATCAGGCATATTGCATTAAAGAAACAATAGACAGGCAGGATAGTGATCTCTATAACCGGATGTGTACACCCCCTACTCATGATGCATTTCTGGAACACGTGCCCACAAATGTATATATATATATATATACCGGTAGTTAATAAAAGAACATTACGTACATGAACTACTTAAATAAAGAACTAAAGCTGGAAATAGCTGCAGGCCACATCTACAGCAGAAAATTTCACTCTGTGTGGTGGAAAAAAAGTCTTGTGTAAAAAGTTGATAATCTTTTTTTTTTTTTTTCAAATATATATGGCTCAAACACGTACATATGAACCATGAGTGCTTTATTTGCCTTAATGTAAAGCMCCTTTAAGTCTCAAGCTATCAGATTACTGTGTGATCATATAGGTGGGGACTGTTGCTGACAAAAGATGCACATTTACTGATATGAGTTGCTTCATTTGTATCAGATAAATCTTGTCTTCTGTGAAAGTCTAAAGTAGGCCCTATTTGTTTCTTTGTTTGCCTTATTTATCTACCAGTMCCATTAGTCTCTTAACACCGGTTAAATTAAGCAAAGCTTAAAATTGCTAAGTACTTAGCAGGTAGCCCATTTTCCTTTGTTGGCCAAAGAGAATGTGTTGATAATGATCTTAACTCGACAGTGAACTCCAGAATACCAAACAAAAGCTGTTATAAAACGAGTAAAAGGCAAAACATTTAAAACTGTCATGTTGGGAAATGCATCTGACGATAAAATAAACACTACATTATCATCAGTTCTTTAAAGCTAACATAGCTTACAGCTAGGCTAAAGCGAATATGTGACAATCCAGAGTTCATTGAGGGCGACTTTAAAGATCACAATCACTAAAGTAAACTTTTAGATGTCTGTACATTGGCATGTTTATTTGTTAGTGCTACGATGATGAAATGCAGCTGTCAAAGCAAGTAAAAAAGCGTCATCTCTAATCCATACTCTTTCTTTACAGTTTCTGTCGCTAGCAGATGCGAGCTAACGCTAGTAGTTGCCATCCTTAGCTAGCATTAGCCGCTGTGTTTTGACAGTTCTCGGACCGATTGGACCACAAAATATTTTTTTTCCTCGACAAGTACAGACAGAAAACTGAAAACTAATATTGAGCATCGACATTCATTGAAATATAACATTGCTTAGGTAAGAACCTGATAAATACCAGTGTAGCATTCGTGTGCGGTTTAAGCTGCCCGTGTTGTGCCAAAAAAGGCACCCCTGCCATTTAAGTACCCCGGTCGCAGAAACCGCATTTCGGGGCGGTTTTATTAATAATTTCATACGCATAAACAATTAAAATTACATTAATAAAACAAATAAATAACAATATAATTTATTGGTACCATTTAMGACCCATTTACAAACACTTTCATTTTTATTCTAATTTTCTTGTTAGCATTTCACTTTAGCATGACATTTTGCAGTAAATATCTCGTAAAGACATTGAATTTAAATAAAAATAATAATAAATGAACTCGTCATGATAATAAATGTCTAAAACAGATTTTATTTTTCCCAATAAAGCGGTCTAAAAACGCCTTTCCTGTAGCGGGGGTGCTTTCCATGGCTGGGTGACTTTTTTCGCCACAACACCAGTCTGAGCTCAGTCCTTTTCGACTAGGCCTGAATTTCAACTTGGTCATTTCAGCTATGATCAACGCGGTTTTTTAAGCAAAATTCACGAAAACTTTGCTGTTGTTTCGACGTGACAGTTCGAGCTCTGTGTACTGAAGGAAAAGCCAAAGCCAAGCACATCAAGTTTTGTAAAGTAAGATGTCTGCTGGGAGAATACAGTGAGATTTTACAAATGCAACAAAAGACAAAAATACTCACAAGGGATCGTTTGTAAACCTGGGTGTTCTCGGAGGTTGGTATCCGTACAGATGGCAATAAAGCACGTCAAAGCAGAAGCAGCACATCTCCGCGGAGACGACCATTTTTCTGCCACCACTTCCCGAACCTGGTCCCGGGCTGAGGTTCGGGGAGAGGCCGGATGTGTTGTAGCCGGCCGGGACTGGGGACAGCGCGTTTGTGCCGCCGCTGCCGCCGCCGCTAACATTACCCCCGGGTCCCCCCAGGCCGTTCACTCTGCTCACGTTCGCCGCGGCCGCAACAGCCGCGGAGGAGCCGATCCCCAACTCCGAGCCGCAATGTCCGGTTCCTGCAACCCCGCTTCCCGCCGCCCCCACCCCGCCGGGACCCCCCGAACCGGGAGATCCCGACAGTTTCTGCTTCTTCACCCCGCAGCACCCGGCCGCCATCTTGGAACAATCTGCACCGACACACCGCTTCCGACCCATAACCGTCACCGCGGGAAGGGTGGGGGGGAACGCCGAGCAGACGTAAAAATCCCACTGCGTCGCGACGTACGGCGGACAATACTCCACTTTTCCGCTTGTCGTTTTTTTTTTTTTTTTTTTTCCTGTCGGCTGTAGAAATAAGACTGCAATGTCACCCTAGCGTTGCCTTTAAAAATGCGTGACTTGGCCACGCAAACAGCACATCATAGCTGAACAAGCGTTTATTCCTTTTAGAAGTCCAGACAGTCAAGGCTATGGTGGTCCAGTGGGTCACCACGAGCCAAATATACACCCCCCACCCTGCTCCCTAACACGACACCGTCCAGAGTCGGTTCCCCTTAAACATACAAGTTCAGGGAGTCTCCGGTCCGAACAGGCCGCAGATGACAGTCCCCAGGCGGTCCAGAGGTGAAGCCGACAGTCCCGCAGCGCASCTCTCCGAGTGGAAGCCGGGAGCTCGGGTACGCAGGACCCATAAAGCTCTCAGCACGAACTGCGCACAGCGGCTCGGACAGCGGAGCTTCTCATTGCACCAGCCTCTGCCTCATCAACTTCTAATTATACAACAACAGGCCCGGAGTGCTGGAATCCCAGACGCCGGGGKAACGCAGAGGAAAATGGCATCTGACGATGCGGGGCTGGCAGGGCACAAATAAACCGCGTCAGCGCCGAACGAGTCATTTCAGTCCGGTCAGCCCACAGTCTGCACCTGCATCATGACTGCACTTCTGAAAAACCTCAAGAACACCCCCGCGTCAAATGAAGGGCTGAAAGTTTTCAGCATTTAAGGGTTTTCTTTCTTTTTCTGTTGTTGTTGGGAGGCTGTCATCCGCTCATGTGGACACAGAAAAAGAGGAGCGTTCTGGTCCGTGGACCGTGTGAAATCCGTCGGGCTTGGCGAACCCCCCTCCTCCCTCCCTCCGCATCTGCCTGTCAGCTGCTACAGTTCTGTGCTGTTCGGGTCCAGCGATCAGTCTGTGGCCACACACAAGGCATCGGCGTCGTCGGCACGCCGGAACCGGATTCAGGAAGGAGCTCTGCGCCCAGTTCCTACGCAAACTGCGTAGCTTTTTGGGGGGTATCCGCTTTGCGATTTCAGAACGAACGTAAGGCTGTGGGGCGCCTGCGCATGCGCAGTGACGTCACTCCTCTCTCCCAGGCTCAGGTTGTAAAAGTCACAGGACCGTAGATGTCTCTTGAACACTCATCATGTGGAATAACCTTATTATAAACCTCCTGACTGTTTCATGTCTCTGTAACACTTGGGTGGACAGGAAGTTCTCAAAACTGTGCCTGKACTGCTGTTCTCTGGCTTCTATAACTAATGTTTTTATTATTATTTAAATATAGTTCCCTTACAAATGGCATTTTGTCTTGAAGCAAATATTCGATTATAGCCTGTTGTTAACAAGTGCTCGTGTAATCAAATCACTGGCAGCCAGGCTCTGTTGAAATCAAATTAATCTAAACGACGCTGCAGGGTATTCATTTAACTTTTTTATTTTTAATCTTTACTGAAATGCTGCTTTGATCGAGCAGTGGTTCTTAATCCTGGTCCTCAAAGCCCCTTATCTTGCATGTTTTAGTTTGTTTCACTGATTTAAATTTATAAATGAGTGAGCAGAGGTGGGCGATKCTGTGAATTTTGGTATCGATCCGATACCAAGTAAATACAGAGCCAGTATCGCCGATATCGATACTTTTAAAGCTTCATAATTTGAAAAGATCCAAAAACTCTAGGATAGGTTTTCGCCAAACATATGAGARAACAAAATACTTTATTATAACAATCAACATTGTTGCTTGCCAACAATAGAGCAGTAACAAACCAGTTTCCTTTAAAATAAATATTTTAAATAAAAATAAAATAAAAATCCTTCCCTCACCACTAGACATCTTTCCTAGTTATGTCTTTGTTTCTTTTATTAAATAAAATTGTTCCAAGGAAAAACAAAAAATAAGGAATTTTCTTCCTTTCAATGCAATTCTGTTTTATGTAAATAAACAAAAAATATCACTCAACACAACTTAGAACAAAATCTCAGAGGTAGAGGGCTCTGTGAGAACGCTGAGTGGCAAACCTGTTGAAGATCATGCAAAACCCACCTTTTTTAGCAGTTAAATACATTTTGTTGTGTAATTGGAGTCAAGGGCAGAAACATTTAGTTTCTCCTTTAATTTAAAATTAGGTTTATATTTCCACAACCAACGTCAGAGCAGGAGCATTTTAGCTTTAAAGCTTGTAGCTGTGGCTCAGTGGTGCRAAAAGGAGTGTATTTTATTCAAAAACCCATTCACGCAAGCGTTGGTTTCCACATGGATGATGTCATCTTAGCACAGTCCAGCACATCCAGATTAGCTTCTGAAGCTGCGACAGGATAAGGGTGAAGCAGGCTGAACTTCCTGCTGTGCAGAATGGCACACAATGAGWACAGCAGGCTAAATTCAGAGCATTWATCGCATCTGCATTCATACGATAAGAGATTATAATGATCATTTAGGAAAAACTGAGGGAAGCAATAAGAGTTATTTCAAAGTATGGAAATATCTCCAGTCATTTCCATCTCTTCTGTTCTTGGCAACGGGGAAAGTCCATGACAGGAGGCACTTTTATTTTCTTCAGTGGACCATCAGTAAAGGTTAAAATTCAATTTAAAAAGGGTATTATTGAACTGACATCAAAGGTTAATCAATAGATGTACTTCTAATTATTTTGAGTTTTATTAAAACCCATCAGGTGCTTCATGAGATATTTTGCTAACAATCACTCAGTAAAAACAACAAACAGTCTGGCTCTGCTCGGTCATAAAGAAGCAATGAATGGCAACAAGGATTGGCATGATGTAAGACGRGCTCCTTGTTCCAGGTCACATGTAGAAAACATGACTGCTGGCGTCAGTCTCAGACTCGTCATCTGTGTGAGCTGCAGGGTAAACATGTTACTGCAGCTCCCAGAGGGGTGTGTGTTCATTTGTCTCCCACAGTCAGTAAATCTTCTCATGATTTAGTCATGAGCAGTGTTGTGTATTGTTGTAGGAATGGATGATTTCAGTGAAAGAGTTTTGGTCATGCACAGAATGATGTCTGAGTGTTGCCACACAGTATGCTTATCTCTCTCTCTTTCTCTTTATTTATTTATTTTTTCCTGCAGAATCCTTGTCATCACTCTATCTGAACTCAGCTGTTTTCCCCTCTGGCTCCTTGTGGAATGACCTTTCTCTTCCTGCCAGGACAGAGTCACTTTTGTAGACTGAAAGCTCATCTCACCAAGAGACATGTAACCCCTCAGCTATATTTCCTCTAAAAAAATTATTTCATCTTTTTAACTGAGCAAGTTTAGTCAGCCTTGCTTGAACTTGACCACAATGCTCACTTAATAATAATAATAATAATAATAATAATAATAA